GACTAAGAGAAAACCCAGAAGAATCTTGAATGCTGCTTTAATGTATGCACTTTATCAGGTACATATTTGCTGTATTGCATTGCTGTACTGTAGCTAGCAGTGATGTTTTGCAACTACATTTACATTTATATTCAAGGGGGATAAAAACAACAGAAACGTTTACCTATGACCTCGGTAATGAACACAGTAAAAGCCCTTTTATGAAGATGGTTTTGTGGTGGAGGGGCTGTACAGAGTTACGTATGATTAGATTACTCACATTCTGACACTCGGATGACAACAGAGGTTTCTCCATTTTTCCTCCTTAGGCTGCAGAAACTGTGTTCTGTGGTCTGTGTAATCATATCTGTCAGCCAGATGCACACGAAACATCACTGACACCTCTATCATTCGCTGCAAGAGGAGGACCTCAGTGCTAGGTGGACGACACGCTAATTACCGGGGTGACGAAAGAAACAAGTGAAAATCAGGCTAGGCTAATTTTTTGGTTCAGTTTCACTGCCTGTGTTTTTTATTTTAATGTCCTTTCTCTTTAATGTTTGAAAACCTGCAAAGCTCATGCTGGCACATGGAAAATTGGTGTGGGAATTCACAAAAAAAACAACCCAAAACAACGACAATGGTTGAATGTGTGAGTTTTAACGCTGCAAACACATTAAAAAAGATGTGATGAACAAAGAAGGTTCAAATTTTGAGTTTCATTATGACTTCACTTTAAAAAAAAAAAGGAAAAAAAGAGGCAATTATCTATGATTGCATCTGAAAGAGTGGGGATTTAAATGGCAGTGGCATTTGCTCGGTCATGCAGTCTTTTCAAGAGCCGTGGAATCAATTCTTTGGTGTGGATCTTCAAATTATTATTAAGGTACTAGTGGTTTGGATTCCACATCGCTACAAGTCATTCTGCTGAAAAGCGGGCACAACAGTGACACGGTGTCTTACGCGACAGCTATAAATACATGAAACGATATGATAGCTAACAAATATGCTGAGCTAAATTCCCGTCTTCATGCACAACTAAACGCAATACACAGAGTAATATTTAAGCAAACACAGGAGCACAAGGAGGCGAGGAGACAGATGACTTTGAGGCTTTGGAAAGGGGGGCGGTGATTTACATATTCAGTCAATTCCCTGTTGCTGGCCGACATGCATAATTCATCCATTTTATTGACTGCTGAGGAATTCTGTTAGGTGACTGAGAGATACTCCCGAGAACAAAAGATGACTGTCCTTTTCATAAGTGTCATCAGGACCAGTATGTCTGAGAGATCCAAAGGCCTGTTTCTCTGTGTAACGGATGACACAAGGCATATTTACAAAGACTGCATTTTCAGTGTGTTGAAGGAACGGCTTAAAGTGCTACATATGCTGTCGCAGTGTTGCTGATATTAATCAAAATAAATGTTGAGCCCGGTGTCCTTGGCAATAGAATTGCTCAGAGCCTAAATTGAATTGAGGCAACATTCAGGACGCCGGCGAATACACACACAGCGCGTTACAGCGGAATAATCCATCGTATGATCGATACTGAGTGCATTGGAAAACGTAGCATCGGAACAGATAGGCCCTGCTTTTCTACAGACAACTACACTTGCGGTCACTTTGTTATGTACACCTGTTCAGCATCTTGAAAGTGCACATTTCTGATCAGCTAATCGGCACCTTAATGCATTTAGTCGTGCTGAAGTTCAAGATGAGCATCAGAATGGGAAAGAAAGATCATTTAAGTGATTTTGAACATGGCAAGGTTGTTGGTGCTAGATGGGCTCGCCTGAGTATTTGAGAGACTGCTGAACTACTGGGGCTCTCCTACACAACTGTCTCTAGAGGTCAGAGGGAAACGGCCAGAATGCTTACAAATTGACAGGAAGACTGAAATAACTTCTCGTTATGACCAAGGTATGCAGAAGAACCATGCACAGTGCATCTTGAAGCAGATGGGCTATAGCAGTTTAGAAGATCACATGGTGAGCCACTACTGTCAGCTGAAAACAAAGTACGATTAATATTAGCTCACCAAAACTGAACAACAGAAGATTGGAAACATTGGCTGGTCCGCTGAGCCTGGATTTCTGCTGCCACATTCAGATGGTTGGGTCAGAATTTGGTGTGAACAACATGAAAGTTTGGATCCATCCTAGCAGCCCTGTATTAACAATTCAGGCTGCTGCTGGTGTAATGATGTTGGGCCCATTAGTACAAACTGAGCACTGTTTAAAGCCCCGAGCACTACCTGAATATTGTCGCTCACCATGACCACAGTGTACCATTTCCTGCTTCCAGTAAGATAACTCATCATTGTTACAACGCTCACATAATATCAAACATGACAGAGACTTCCCTGTACTTAAGTCACCAGATCTCCATCCAAAAGAATACTTTAAGATGGTAGGGTCAGAATTCGCCGTACACTATGTGACTCTGTGTTTATACACCTCTCTGTGTAAAATTATTAGTTATTATTAATCTCTGGCTCTCATCCACAGCATGTCTTTGTCCCGTCTTCCTCTGAGGAGTGTTTCCAGCTCTTTGTTGAATCTGTGCCATGAAGAATTAAGATAGCTCTGAGGATCAAAGGGAGTACAAGCAAGACATACCTAATCAAGTGTCCAGTAAGTGTATGTTTATGTATAACAGACGAGATATTATCCAAAAATTACTTTGCAAGTAGAGAAAAATATGTCTACCAATAAAAGTTGGTGGGTTGCAAAAAACAACATAAATCATTTAATGAGTTGATCAAACAAACAAGAGCTTCACACGTAAAAACGGATCATTTTGTCCTGTGTGAAGTGAGGCAGCATCTCACCGCATGATTCTTTATAATCACACTCAGACACATGCAGGAGAGGACAAGTCTCTGTCCCAGGTGAGCCACAATCAACAGGTCCAGGACTTAATTTTCACTCATGACAAAAGGGTGGTGGTGGTGTCGGTAGTTAGGTTAGGTCATTCTCTTCTATCGCTTACAGATTTGTAAAAGACTGCAGACTGTGACTGACTGAGATCCAACACGCTTTTTCTTGGTCACAAGAAGAATCTATGAATATTATTCCCAGATCTGACACAGTGGCCCCGTGAGCCGGACACAACAAAGAGAAATCAGCTACTGATCGACTGAGAGTGGGGCAACCACCTGCTTAGTTTCAGCCCTCTGCTCTGTCCTTGTCTGTCAACATAGAGACATTTTTAAACAGCCAGTAAGGCCTACATGCCAATACGGGCAAGTGATCCCAATGAAATGTCTCCTGACAGGTTATGAATAACATGCTAATGAGACTCTTCAAAGACCTAAAACAGAAATCCTACTTATGGCAGAAATCCTTTATGCAGCACATTGTGAAAAGACTTTTGAAGATTTCCTCTGCGTCTTTCAAAGTATCTTAAAGAACTTCAGTGAAGTCGGGCAGAAAGTGGAAGGACTAGCAAAGAATTACAGGGAAGAATTAGAAATTCAAGAGTCTGCATTGTCCAAAGCCTCTTTCATCTTGCACTCTTATCGCGTTACCTTTGTTATTTGTTGCTCGGGATAATAGTGGCTGTAAGCCATTGTGAATTCAGACGTAGAGAAAAAGAAAACAAGAGATGTGACCGAGCTGAAGGATCAGCAGCGATACTCCCCACCATCGCTGAGCTGCTCCGCTTTCGATTGGTAGCTTTGACACGTCTTCATCAACTCTCATCGCATGTCTACAGCTCCAGCGTCGCTGCTTTCAAGGCCCTGTTTGTGTTGCGCACCAAAGACCAATTAGATACTCTTTGCAGATTCCCCTTACTCTCTCCCTTACACTCCATGCCACACCAATTTTTAATTGACAGGAGCTCCTCTATCTTTCATGTAATGCCTGGAAGGAACAAGAGACTCTCAACAGGAAAAAAGGGGAAAATTCCACTGCTATTCTTCTTAATTGTCAATGTCGTCGTTAATGAAAAGAAGAAAAAAAAAAAATCAAAGGAACAACCTTGGAGATGTATTCACCGCTCAATTTTTTTTGCGCTGAAGGCAGGAGCATCGGGGTCTTCTTCTATATGACCCAGACATCCCTGCTTTTTCACTATGCTTGCTAATTACCAACGGAGACACCCTAGGGGGGTGGCTATGCGAGCTGGATATTGTCTTGTATTTAATAGAAGGTAGATTAATAAGTACCTTTTTACCCAGCTCCCTTTGGAGGTCAGAACATTCAGACAATTCCACAGGCATTAAAAACTTGAGGTGTGGAGCTATGCTTGGAACCAGAGGTTGGAAGGTCTAATGATATTCTCGTTCACACCGCACCGGGGCCTCGCGATTACCAATGTGACGACCTTACATTTAATGTCACTGAACGCCCAAATCCATTCTGAGCTAGATTTAGATGAATGAGCCACATTTTAGCCACGTTGAGTTGAAGAGTTATTATTCCACAGGAGCGGCACGCAGGGGTTAGGTAAACAAAGTGCTTTCTTAATTGGTGAGCACCAAACTTCACATGTCCAATGCAATTCTCTCTGAGGGATTTGAGCTGCACTGCCTGAGCTAATGAGAGCCAGAGAAGTGAGAGCACAGGCACTGTGACACTCTGTCTTGGCTCTTAATTTGTGAACTTCCCCTCAGCTGGCAACCCCGCAGCCTGCTCTCCCAGATGAAGTGGCTCCGTTGGCACGTCCAGGTCTCCCCCCGGGGCTCTCTGGGTAGCTGTGGCAGAACGGCATTAACACCTTGGGGAGCAGGCGCCAGGACTAACAGTTTAGCTTCTGGAGGCCAGAGGCACCGGGTACAAAGGAGCAGTACATTACAGTACTCTGCTGCTTTTATAAACCTAGGAATGTGCGAGAGCCCAGGGAAGCTGAGCACAACTGCTTGTGGCTTTACTGTAACTATCGCCAATTACGGGCAACTTTCAGGTGATAATCCAAACCTGTTGTTTTTTCTTTTTTGTTTAACAATCTCTGCTTTTTCGATCAGAATAGATAAATGCATCAAACAATAGATCACAGAGCTGCCCTACACGTACCTCTCTTCCAGCAGCTTGTCTCCAAACATCCAGCTGATGCGTGGTGCAGGGTAACCCGTGGCCACACAGGGCAGCAGCACGCTGGCATCAGTCGTCTTGGTCACAGACACAGGCTGCACCAGGAATTCCAGCTTCCTCTCCTCGCCAGTTTCTTAGATGTGAAGGGGGGAAAAAAGGGGGTCAGGGTTAAGACTGAGGTTAAGCAAAGAATTTCTGGGAAGAATTAAAAACTCAAGAGTGGGTATTGTCTTTACTTTCCAAAGCCGCTTTCATCTTGAACTCTTATCAAGTGTATTATTTGTTTTATTGATCAGAAAAAAAGGACAAACAAACAGTAAATTGCAGCCTGCAACAGGAATTCCAGCTTCCCCTGCAGTTTCTTAATTGACCGGGGGGGGGTGACCGTTAAGGCTGAGGTTAAGGCTAGGGTTGAGTAAGCTAACCTCCGTGTCCATCCATCTTACACTTAAGACTGACTGACAGCCTGACACTCAAGCCACAAAGAGTCAGACTGAATAATGATAATGATATCTAGCACAGATAAAGCTGTGTATGAGTTCAAACTGCTGTGTATGATTCCAGCTGCAACTTAATGCTGGAATAGCATCGAGTAATAACCACGAGGGTCATGGTCAGCCAGACTTCTTATTTTTTTAATAATGAACTGCTGCGAGTTCACAGGAATGTGTGAAACTCCCACTCAGCGATTCACGGCGAAAATACCAGAGCTGTATTTGGTTGTGGCTTCACAAGAAAACAAAAAAAAGACACAACTACACATGATAATAACTACACCTAATACATTTATTCATGTCCCTCCAATATCTGATGGTGTCCACGCAAAAATGTATTTCCATTTCGTCACAAAGCTTTAAAATCTTCCCCTTTGTGTGGCTCCAACTTCCTGCCACTCTACCACACATCTTTAAAGGAGGCAAACAGAGATGAAGACCCCCACTGGGGCCTTGTTGAAGTCTGATTTACAGCCTCTAATATCTTCCCTGTGCTGGCAGGAGCCTGGTGCTTAACAACTTAGTAAATAAAACTTCCAGGGGGGTGAGACAAGACCCTGCCACAATGGAATTCGGGTTCCTTTTGAGCTGCAGCTGAGTTACTGTTGCGTCACTGATAACCCCAGTGGGAATTTTACCGCTCCTGCTAGCATTCAAAAATCTCTCACCACAGGTAGCCGGGTCTCTTCACACTAAAGGTAATGAGCAACCGAGAGAGAACTCAATGTACTGCTGTAATTAAATGATGCACTGGACTATATACAAATTTCAATTTACCTCACAAGAGGTAAATTGACCCTACAAGGGTCTAAAAGCTCTAAAGATGTGGTGACGTTTTAACAGGTGACAACTGATGACAAGCAGGGTAAAATATTTTAATATTAGAAAACAATACTAGTGTATTCATTATATTGCATAACTGAGTTTACAGCGAGAAGTTCCTATAGTAACAGATGTAGATTCATAATGGACAACATTTCACCTGGTGTTCTCTCAAATTACCTGGTACAGTTTGGAGCTCGGCCTCATCGCTCAACTTGGAAGAGCCAACGTTTTCCACAAGGCAGCGGTACGTGCCAGCGTCCGTCTCCGAGGCATTGCTTATAACCAGGGCTCCACTCGGTAGCTGGATCAACCTGGTACTCAGCTCCAGGGGCTGTCGGTCTTTCTCCCACCGGATGAAGGCCACCAGATCCGAGTTGACCTCACATGCCATCACCTGACTGTCCCCAAGTCGCGCAGTGGCTGGCAACGGTTGGTTGGCAAACCTGGGCATCCCTGCAAGACAGCGATAAGGCAGATGAGGAACACTCATAGCAAAATTTTATGGTAGCAGTTTAAGGGGTTTATGAAACCTGAATGAAAAAAGCAGGGCTTCAGGTTTTTAGTAAACTTGAAAGCAAAGGCATGCTGACAAATTTGACTGTTTCATTTCATTAAATTTAACTTTAAGCTGCATTTGGATGTAAATTTTTGCTAAGGCAGATTGGAAAGGCAAATTGATTACCACAGCAGCTAATGAAGCTATAAAAAAGAATGTGGTATATCGGTTTTGAACTTTGACTTTGAAGCTGCATATTTCGTCTCATCTTTAGAACTGAAAAATATTGGAAGCGTTCTCTTGCACATCCATCCAATTTCTGGTTATATTCTTAGGAGCGAAACAGGCCAAAACCTTCAGCACCCACCTGTCCCGACCTCTTGCAAACAGACAAACAAACCACCACCCTTCTCCTGCGCACCCATGTCGTACAATCGTTTATCCTTGATGGTGGATGTTAATTTGCCACGCAGAGCAGGAGACACACGGCACTAATTAAAAAAAAAAAAAAAAAGCTGGATCCACAGGCTGTTTGCGCTGCTGTAGCCCGACTTTCATCTTGATGCAAAATAATTATTTCCTGGGTTTGTAGTCATTGATCTGAAACCAACACTCCCGGGCCGCTTCCGAAACAATCGCGCACAATGACTTCAATTAAAAAGAACTTACAATGTGTAAACTGCAAATGTTATTCTTGGGTTTATTAGTGAGGCAGAGGGAAGAGTTTGTTGTTTTCCAAAGTAAGAAGGCCACTCCATCTCCAATGAAAAGTGCAACATGCTGTGTTATTATCATGGAGGGCCTCTCGAGGTTTTGGGCCAACTGTGATCGTCTCCTTGGAAATTTGTGCAGATGAAACAAAGAGTCTTGTTTGAGTGTCTGTTTTTCTGTTTATGAGAGCAAGTTTAGCTGCTGTAACTCCGCTGAAGACTTGCTGAGCGATGACTTGGCGTCCGCCCCGTCCTCACCTACAGACATCTCTTCAAATCCCCTGCCAGGAATGGCTCCGGGGTAAATCACACTTTAAGATAAGGGCCCAACAGTGACAGACTCCCCTCCCGGCCTGGGCCGACGTGCACAGCTTCTCTGAGTATATCTCAGCACAGTTCAGTTAATATTGGCTTAGTTGATGCCAGTGCTGATATTTTTGTAACTGAGCTGCCAATCACTTAATATATAATCATGGCAGGGTAGGAAAAAAATAATGAGCTGAATTATTGAGGGATTAAAAGATACTTTCGCCCCTCCCTACAAGCTCAGACTTACTCACTGCTTGGTGCCGCTCAAGACAAGCCACAACTGAAAGAGCGCCTTCGATCATCAGATATCTATCTAGAGGTCAAAAATGACCCCTCAGTCGGGGCCTAACGAGGTCTCCTCCACATTTTTTTTGTTGTTCTTTCAAAAAAATGTTAAGTAGAGGTAATCAGAAACTAAAATGTATTAAGAGGGAAAAAATAAGCTCATTAACTGCATGATGATTGATAATCATGGGTTACACTCATTGAAAAACAAAACAAAACACTGGACTGATAAATTAAAGGGTTAAAAATGATATATAATAGTGAGGAGAACAGCAATGGTTTATGAGTTAGTGTGCGTCTTAAAATATATTTAAGACACATTTACACCCCTAATAATTCTAATCTTACTTTCTGCAAATGGACATGTGCACAATGACATCAGGCCAAACCGTGTGCTGTGGCCTCAATGTGCTTATCTGATAAAGACCAAAAAATTTATTAATTAATAGAAATACCAGACAGCCTTTAACTTTATACAGTGCTCTCCAGATAGTAAGTAAATCCCTTAGCCCATGACATTTCTAAAGATGAGAATGACCCTCACTTAATGCATCTGAGGTCTAAAAAGTGACTAGAGTCTTAGTGGAAAAGCTTAAGCCTTTACACTGTGGGCCAAGGAAGACACGGCAGAGGGCTCCACAAGTCATCTGCAGACATGCAGGGCAGGGGGAGAACATTGTGTCTGTACAACTTCAGTTCAGACTGTAGTGAGCACTTTCTGACTCGGTCTGCAGTTAGTCAGTCTCCAGCTCTCAATCGACTAATCCTTTGTTCCTCTTGCCTCATCACATCTCCGCAGGCTGTTCATCAGCTTGCCGTGTCTTCAGGGAGTGTGTTTCTGGGTGTGTGTTTGTGTGAGAGTGGGTGTATGTGGGGAGCCTAACTCACAAGAGCATGACAGCCGTTGTGTAACAGCCAGTTATAATGAAGTGGACTGCTTACGATGACATGAATATGTATGCGCGTGCTTATGCTTGCATGTTAGGTGCTAAAGTGTACATAAGCACATTAAGTGTGGGTCAAGGCAAGGGGCATTGTAGATGGGAAGCGGTGAGTGTCGATGCTAACACTATCGATTCTAATTAATCACAATTCTCCATTTAAATCAACTTGGTGGACGCTTCATTTTCCAGAGCCTTGCTCAGCACCATCTATTGAACTGAAGTGCTTGGCTGCCAATCTGCACTTATTATCGGAGTGTGATGGAGCCAAATGAGTCCAGGAGAGCAATGGTATTTCAGCGGCCAAAATCCAAAGACTGGAGGGTTTATTCTAACAGAAAGCGGTTTCATTCTTCATTTTAAACGGAGCAAAATGTGCCTCCTCTGATCTCATTGATCCTCCCAAAAACATTTTCATACACCCAGCACTTGCACCAAATGCCTCCTTTGTGGAAGGTGGTTAACTAGATTCATCAAACCCTGCATTATCTGCTCGGCTCTACCAGTAGAGCTGATAATAATCAGAATGCTAATGAAAGAACACGTCCCTCACTGGATGGAGATTAGCCGAAAACTAGTGCGCCACAACGAATGAGCATAACGACTGCCTGCCCCACCTCAGAGAAAAACCAAGCGCAATTATGTACACGCATACACAGGCGTACCCTTAAATCACACTGTTGGGTTCTCACTATTCTTAATTAAAATAAGGTATAGAATAATAATGAGCAGCTTAATAGAATTCACAGAAGGCTTTAAGGATCTCCCTTGAGATTCAAGCGAATTAGTGACTGACTGCAGAATGGCTGTCTTTCACCTTGGATCAAAAACATAACTGTGTTTGATGTTACATATTTTCAAGCAGTGTCAGTTACAGTAATTGGCGAAAACTGAAACTGGCTTACATTTTGTGCCAGGGCCCGGGGGGAAATGTCTCCCTACGTGTCGTGGCCAGATGCTGAGTTTGGATTGCTAACATGAAATACCTAATTTTCCATGGAGAAAATATGGAATGTAAAAAAATCAAGTCACATGGTTTATGCTTTGGAGGGAGCTCGTATTTTTAAGCCCACAGAAACACCAAAGGTTACCGAAAAGACAGGATCTAGCATAATTACATAGTCTAAACGGGTAACTAGCAGAGGGATTTTTCACAATGCAACCTTTACTTCTTCACTTTCAATTAGCATAATAATGATGTCATTAGACTAATGACAGGGCAATAAAACAACAATATATTCTAACACGATGTAATTTATTGATACATATAACAACAATTTCTCCACTTGCTACGGCTAAACATAAGACCAGGACAGTAAGACTCAGGACACAAACACAAAGATATGATGGCTACGCCAGACAAGTTACGCTTACAAGCTTAACTAGCTTCATGTTGCAATCAGCTCAACTCTGAGACACCAGTGTGGGGTGGGCATAATACTAGAATTTCAAACTTTCAAATCCAGGAAAATACTCCATTTTTTATATGAATGACACCAGCACAGCCAAAAAATAAAACAAGAAAATTAAGATTAGAATAGTAGTATGATATTGTCTGCTACCTAACTCTAAAATTTATGTTATTGGTTTATTATTATCCAACGTCCACTAGCCATATCCCCAATAAGACCCTAACAGATGGCTAATATCAGATACTCACTAATAATTAAATCAGAGACAATCTGAAAGGTTGACATAACTTCCAGGATAGAAATATGAAGACCATGCTAAAAGCCACATTCTATCAGAAGGCCACTGGATGTCGACAGCTGTGGTTGCTAAAAGACTTCCAGTCCCATAGAAATCTATAAGAAAACTGTTTTCATACTTGACCTCTTTAAACACTTTCCTGTTAAGTTTATGGGCTCTGTGACTCATTCCAGATCATACTGAATTTTGCAAATCTTGGTCATATTATGAACAAGATTTGCAAAGTAGGACGTATGTTTCAAAACAGAGGAATATCAGTGCTATGCTCACTGGCTAACAACTCGTGAATGACAAGTTGTCAAACCAATGGGTGACCTCCCGGCAGCTCTGTCCAGCTTTTATGCTGTCTATGAATAAAACAGGTAACATTAATGTGTATGGCTTTAATGTTGTTTAAAAGGGAGCTTTGCTGGCCTCTCAAAATTACCTACAAAGAGTTGTTCAATAATGTTAACATCATGTTCATGTGTTAGTGATGGGAGAGGCTATGTGCTGTGTGAAGTTGTGTCAGATGGAGTGTGCAAAGAAGAAGTTGGTATTGATACTGTAGCAAATGATGATCTAATCCAATAGCAATTTTTTAGCACTGATTAGTGTCAGAGTATGATTTTTAATGACAATCCTACACTGGATCAAGCTCACTAGCCAAGAGCATGCAGTTTTTGAAATATAACCTAATATAAATTCTACGCTGTTGTTTAATGTTTCGGATAGTACTATTATTGACAGCAGCCAGAGGTAATATTAAATGTACACATCCATGAGCTAAACCTTTAAAAAGTTTAAAAGCAAAGAGGAAATTCTCTAAATGTAGCAACCACGAACAGGAGGAAGAAATATATAACAAAAGAGACACAACTCATCTTCTCATCACAGCAAAGAGTAGACTACGGCATCATTCCACTACTTCTTTCTCCCTTTCTGAATTCAACAAGTTCACTGCCATTCGTTGGAGACTGCTGAAAGTCATTCTGGGAAATGTGGAGAAATCAATACGTGAAA